GGATCCGAACCCGGGCCGCCAGCATCAGAGCGCGCGCACTTAACTGCTAAGCCACGGAGCCGGCCCTTAAGTTTTTTATTTTACAAAGATAACAATAATGTGCTACTCTTGTGAATTTCAACTGCGATCAATGCCATGTATCTACCTAAGCATCCCTTTTACACAGAGCCTAGATAGTCTTGAAGAAAACAGCAAATATTTCTCTAGAGAAACATACGAAATACCATAATATCATTTCTCATAATTATATGAAACATAATTATGTTCTCCTAACAGTGATGTAAACTTCCAAGTTGTTGAAATGATTCTTAGTTTGACAACTGAGACTGGTATGCCATAATTGTTATAACTAATATTTTAAATATCAAGGATAGATTATGGGTGTCCCTCTATGAACTGAAGACATAATATTGGAAATATCTGCTGGATAAAAATTAGAATTTAGGGAAAAAAAGAAAAGTTTTTTTCTCAAATTAGACAAAGCACATATAAGCACAATTACAATTTGAACAATTTACATATCCCAGTGTTGAAAGGTATCTGACTACAGAGACCAAACTGTTTTCTTATAACATATCTTTAGGGCCCAGGAATCTATATATAGTTGGTACCCAAATGTGATGGTAAGCTTTAATCAGGTTAGTTCAAGCTGGTTTGCCTAAATTATTTTCAGCAGAATGAACAAACTAAATTTTCGGCCATTTAGGAAATCACTTAGTCTATATTTAAGGAGACTGAAAGATTCTTCCACTGAACAAATTGTTCTGAAGAATTCAGGAACTTTCATAAGGACGTGAACTTTTTAAAGTCAAGGTACCACTTGATAGATTTTGTTAGTGCACCAAAAACTAGAGGCCTAAAATTATTCAAATAATTCTAAGTGTTTGATTTATAGACTAGGAAATTTTGATAATCATTTAAAAGAGTTCTTCTAAATTAAAAAATTCTATAAATCCTAGAAGGAAGTTTAACTTTTTAATGGCAAATGAAAAGCTGAAAATAAGCAATGAAATATCAAAAGGTAAAAATCTCTTAAATAAGTTTGCCTGGGAAGGCAACCTCTCTATTGCCCCGCATAAATGACTGCTTGATGAAGATCTGTGCTAAAGAAAAATTTTAAATTCAGTTTAGCAAGTTATTAGAGTCAGAAAATACCTAACTCCTAGAAAGGCTTTAGAGATCATCTAATTCAGCTTCTCTCAAGTTACAGATGAGGCACCAGGCCCAAAAACAAACACATCTGTCCACTAAGTTAAGCAGGAGGAAAAAGCAAATCCAGAAACCTAGTCTAGCCATCTTTTCATTAAAAAGAATTAGATTTTTTTTATTTTCAAAATAACGTTTCCTCCTTTGATATGAGTAATGAATGCCCATTCTAACTCGGAAAATACAGAAAAGTATAAAGCAGAAAATAGCAATAATGTGCCTTTACTTTAAAACCCCTTTAAAACTCAGTATATATCAAATTCCCCTAAACCCAAAGCCCCTCAAAAGAAGGATTATACCCGCATCAAGTGAGTCATTATTTTCACAATTTCCTCCATTGAAGGGCGCTGAGAAGGATCTTTAGACCAACAACGAGTCATCAGGCTCTCAATGGGCTTAGGTAAATTTTTGATCAGTGGCGGTCGAGTACCTATAAGTGAAAATTAGAGTTGAGGGGAAGAATGTATTTACTCAGAGAATGGTGTAAGCTTTTTATATGTATTTCCAAAGCAGTATTTATTTTATAGATCTTGTAACTTAAGATTTTTTTTGGAGTAACAAAAGTACGTTTTTTTGTCCTTTAGGTTAACATTATATTTTCATAAAGAGAAAGCTATACTTTTTGAAAAGTTAAATTAAAATTTTTATACGCATTATGGTAAAAGACTGAGAATTAATAATATTTCATTTGTTATAAACATTCTTTTAACAAATAATAATGGCTTAATGTGTTTTATTAAGAAAAATAAAGCGCTGCCTTAAGGTAAATCTTACTGAACTATATTCTTAGATTTATTGCAAAAATTTCAAATATGTTTGAAGAATCATCTTCCATATCTAAAAAGTCATCATCTATGGTGTTATACTCACTGATCTCCCAAATGACTCTCTTGAGGGAGGCAGAACTTTTGGCTGCTGTGAATTAATCATTTCATAAGCTGAAAACTGGCAACTTTTGTGTAGTTACTAAGACTGTAATATTATTAGTAAAGTCTCTAACTTAAATAAGGCCTCAAATATAATGAAATCTTTGTAATTTTATCAATTAACAAGTTAGTTCTTTTATTCCTTACTTCACTGACATTCAATTATTTACTGACAACTGACAGAAAAAGAAAACAAACTGTCTTGGTCAATGTTCTAGCATTCTCCACAATGACATTAAAGGTAGTAAAATGAAAGGCAGTACAGGAAACTGGTCAACACACTTAAGATTACTCACATGATGGTACTGTTGGACAAGTCTATGAATGACCTAAATAGTTATGAGTGTTTGTATCACTCATAGAATAGTGTACTAAAATGTCATTAATCAGAATGATTATAATCAAGTGATAGAAATTAAATAACAGAGGGTGATGTTAAAAGTTAGGAAGATTAAGTAGTTTCCTTCATGAAGTTTATTTTCCCAAAACAAATGCAAAGTAACTTGATTAATAAAGATGTATTCTAACATCATGGGTGGTTAAAAACATGATAACTAGCGGTATAAAAGGAACAGGAGGGATGCAAGGACAGAGTCCATAAGGCAATATAACTTAAAAATATGGGCACTGGAACCACAAAGATCTGGATTTGAATCCCAGCAATACCACTTACTAATCTTGTGAGCTGGGGCAAGTCATTTAACCTCTCTAGGTCTCAGTTCCCTAATCTGTAAAACTGTAAAATGAGGCAATAATTGTACTCAGCTCATTAGGATGAATGAGAAGACAGAAGGAAAGAGGATGTGAAGCACTTTGTGTTCTGCCTTTATGAATAGCTTAAGTAACAACTCTTATCATCATTCTTTGCTTTCTCTCCTCAGTGAGACCCTTCCTTCCTCAGGAGAAAAAGGCTATAGCTCCTCAATTATCTTAACCACGTGAGAGATTTTATCTATTTATTTCATTTTTAAATTTTATTTTCTCCACAGAATCCAGTCTGATGCTTCCCCATCCCCTGGAGAGAGCCAATCTAGGTAGTTGGCTCTGGTCTTTCCCTAATCAGCACAGCCAGCAGACTTCCTCAGCCTTGTGCCAAGGCTAGGTGTGTGCCCAGCCCTGCCCTGCCTGATTATGGGATGGGGGGAGGATTGGAAACTGATGGTAGGAAAGTATTCTGGTAACAAAGAATTGTACATTTTAATGTTAGGGATAAATGGTCTTCTTTGGGGAAGAAACAAGTTTCCAAATAGGAAATATATTTAAAAAAATTTCTTTTCACGAACCGTTATGAACAGCCCACATGATACGGAAAGCTGGGCCACCAATCTCATCAAAGGGTTTCCGACGTGTTATCACTTCCCAAAGGATAATACCCCAGCTGAAGACGTCACATTTTTCGCTGTAATTGCTACCTAGAAAAAAGGGTAGTATAATTTCAAGACTTTTTTCCACATGACTTACAGAAATAACTGCTTTCATAAATTTTAAGAATGAGCATTGTGTACAAAAACAAGAGGACGCCACAAGTAGAGCTGAGAAATTACTCTTTCTGAAGTACCTTAAGTCTTTGTAACAAATACATTTTTTTAAGAAGAAACATTGTTCAGTTTGCATTTTAATTAGTGTTTTTTGTTTTTTTGAGGAAGACTGGCCCTGAGCTAACATCTGTTGCCAATCTTCCTTTTTCTTTTTTCTCCCCAAAGTCCCAGTACATAGTTGTATATCCTAGTTGTAGGGCCTTCTAGTTCCTCTCTACGTGGGACGCCGCCTCAGCAGGGCTTGATGAGCAGTGAGTAGGTCCACGCCCAGGATCCGAACCAGCGAACCCCTGGCCCCCAAAGTGGAGCACGAGCACTTAACCGCTAGGCCACCGGACTGGCCCCACAAATACATTTTTTTAATGAATTAAGTATTAACGATGTGCTAAAAAATCCACCTTAGAAAGCTGGTCATTTTCCACTTTTTCATCAAGAGGCACAGCCCTTATCTTTTATTTATTTAGACTACACTTTCTAAAGAGCAGAGTATGAAACATTTGTACACTACTGTCTGTAATTTTTTAATCTTAAATTTTATTCCCCAATTCTCTTAACGGATAGTACCACTCTACTATCAAAGCAGAAGAAATTTCTAATTTAGTGTTAAGATTTTAACAACCCACTATAGGAATGAACAATTGTAGCGATAGCTACACATGCACTTACACGTGTACCACACACGCACTTAGCCGTGCACTGTAGGCGTTACAATGACGTCACAATCTAATTTGGGCCACAGGTGCTGACATCTTTCAGAAATAAAGAAATCTACATAGCTTAATCGTCTGAGCTTTGTTGCTCTAAACAACTAACAGTAACTTTTATTTCTGGGTTCTTCTGTATAAACAAATCTTTTTGCTCTCCCTACTACAGTAATACTGCGTTACTTTAACTGACAGAAACGTATATTAAATAAATAAATAATTACAAAACAATGCCAATTATATGTATTTGAAAACAGGAGGTATTATTAATTTTGTATAATTTAACACTTCCTTGTCCACTAACTTTTTAATTGAATTTTATGGCAAAATAGCTCCACTCCAGTGACCAGTTGCATAGCAAATTCCTCTTTGTCTCAGGTGGCTAAAAACAAAGAAACAAAAAACTTTAAATGCATCAAAAATAAAAGAAATAAGCCATAATCAGAATCTGGTCACTGAACGTATCTGAATTTTATGTGCATTCATACTTTGTAACATACAAATCATACACCTTCAGTTCAACTTTTCTCATTTAATAGATAGCTTGATGTTTTTATATAGAAAGCTAGTATGAAATTTATGAATCACTCTTTTAGAACTTGAGTGAGATAGAGAGACGTAAAAGACAGTAAACATAAGCTTATCCTTTACTTGTCGTTCTTAGTATCATATTTCTCCCAATTTCTTGTGTTCTTTCTAAGGCAGGCTCATTTAAACTTTAGACTGTCGATTTTTAATTGCTAGGAAACCAATAAAAAAGCACAGTTGATTCTTGTTATTCCTGGTATTTCTGCTCTATAAAGTTGCTGGGAACACTGAATTAGTGAACACTGAGTCATCCGCTCCTAAGGGAAATAACAGGGTTAGGTTCCTGCAAGCCTCTTCACAGCATTTTGTCAACTGATCAATACATAACCTTGTTTTCTGTGTGTTTCTATTTAAAACATCTTATTTAATATATGTTGTTGACTTGTCAACATTGAACTCATGGCTAATAGTACTATAACCCACGCCTGAATGAAGATTGGTTAGCACATGTATTTTCTCTGTAAAACACTTCACAGCAGGCTTATACTTAGAAACACTAGAAAACACTTCAATACTATTCTTGGAGGCCATTTTATTTTATTTATTTATTATTTTTTGTGAGGAAGACCAGCCCTGAGCTAACATCCGATGCCAATCCTCCTCTTTTTTGCTGAGGAAGATTGGCTGTGGGCTAACATCTGTGCCCATCTTCCTCTACTTTATACGGGGCGCCACCACAGCATGGCTTGACAAGTGGTGCGTCAGTGCACGCTCGGGATCCGAACCCGAGAACTACGGCCACCGCAGCGAAGCGTGCACGCTTAACCGCTTGCGTCACCAGGCTGGCCCCTTGGAGGGCATTTTAAACAGTGAAATCAACAAAAAGCACAAAAAAGCAAAAAAATGTGGCACTAAATAGATCGTGAAAATGACACAGTATGAGAGCTGAAACAAGAAGGCAGAGTATTGCCGTGTTCGACCTCAGCTGGGAATGTGTGTGTGTTTGGTGACTCAAAATTTTTCCCCACTCTGTGTATGCCTGAGAATAACCATGAAAGCACCATGAGTACTGACTTTAGGGTTACAAAGAGGTGATTTTGCAATTACGGAATCTGAGATTGAAGATCAACTGTACAGAAGCTTGAGCTTGCACAGAAGGTGCTAGACAACTTAAATCTTGCTATGAGATATAAGATCTAAGGCTACATTTATTTAATACCTCCTTAGACTTTTGTATATACTTTATAATTATGTACTATGCAGAAAAAAATCATGGAAACAGGGCAAAACCATAAACATATATTGGATTTACATGGAATAATAAGGCAGATTACCAATCACATCACTCACGCTTTCGTCATTTTACCTTCAAAAACTTCAGGTGCCATCCAAGCAGCACTCCCCTTGTTATTGGTCATGTGTGTCTGAATGTCACAGGCTGTACCAAAATCACAGATTTTTAAAACTGTCCCCCCTGCAACCAGCAGCAAGCTGTTTAACACAAAAAATCAAAGGTTATAAGACCTATATTTGATTCTACAATAAAAGAAGAGCCATTTGTGGAAATAGAAAGGGCTAAGTGAAATGTCACCATTCAAGTTCTGTGAAATGTTACCTGGTCAGTATAATAGCTTCACAGTTCACAGAGGAATACTGGCAAAACTTAACTGGCCATAACCTAGTTCTCTTAGGGGGACTGTTAGACCCACATTTTCATGTCTCCATCTCCATCTCCATAATCTTTCCTGACTATGCTTCTCTCTGGGCCAAAGTAAAACATAGGGTTTAAAAAACTTCTAGTAGATCAGTATTATGGTGTCCTGAAATAGGACTGGATGGATATCTATACCTTCATAAATTACTTGCCCCATATAGTTAATCTATCTATCACACTGTTTCTCAAGCTTCAGGCAGAAACCTAGTTATAAAATCTATATGATAAAAATCTAGATCACAAAATCAATTCAGACTATGACAGCATTTAAAAAAATAAAATGGAATAGCAAATACCAAAGTACATCACAACTAGTAAGATTAAATATTGTTTCATGAAAGTTCTGTTTCAGTTCTATACACATTAACGTGTACACACGTTAGATTGTAAAGTATTTCTTACTGTGGATCATGCTCCAAAAGTCTGCAAACCTGCTTTGTTCTTATTAACCTTATGGTAAACAGTAACAAGAGTCTTTAGTTTAGCCTAATGTAGCAAGACTGGTTAGCTGTTCACTGATCTCATTTCCTCTCCCTCCTGGGCATACAACAAGATTATATTTCCCAGTCTTCTGAGCAGTCAGATGTGGCTATATGACCATTTTAACCAATGGAATGCAGGTGGAAGCAATGTACTTCACTTCCAAGCCCGGCCCATAAAAATCTCCCAAATATATACTCCTTTTTCTTTCCCCACATGCCACCGAATGCAGAGGATTCTGAACTATACAATAGAGGGAGCCTGGCATCCTGAACCACCATGTGAAAAACTGCCCACTAATCAGGAATATTCACTTTTCACTTCATAAGTGAAAAGAAAAAACTTGTACTTTGTTCAGCCATGAGATTTCAGGGCTTATCTATTACAATAGTGTCACTCTAACCAATATAAGAAAATGGCATTGAAGTGGGTGCTGCTGTAACAAAAAAATCTGGTATATTTAGTATTTGCTTAGCAGTAGACACCAAGAAAACTGCAATCAGAGGCTGGAAAGATAGAGATCCATGCAATGATGTGGCAAAACACGTGGTAAAATTTCTCTCCTCTGATAATTTGTGGCTTTAAAGGATTGGAAAAGCTGACTGCTTCTAGATTCCAAAGAGCAGGAAATAAGAATGACAAAGGGCAATTAAGATTCAGCACTGCAGCAAAGAAAAAATTAAGAGAAAGTACTTCCCACCTAAGCTTGATGGTCTCAAGCTGCCTCCATTCAGCTGAGAAAAGGCATTGAGGCAAGGAATTAAATAAACCAGGTTCAAGATTTTGTCTAAGAAAGAATTCTGGTAGTAGTTACAGGCACATTGAACTAATTGGAATAAGGGCGATCAAAAGCCTACTTTTAAGGAAATTATATTGCCCAAAACCCCCCAAGTCTGGAATAAAAAAGCCTTTGACTGTTTGAGTCTTACAACAACCCTCAGGACCCCTGATATCCATAAGCAGGAAGCAGGCTATGAAAGCTGTACAGCTTCTGAGGAGGCTATATGCCCCACACCCACTTTTGACATAGCTCTGGAAAATGGACAAGGAAGAGCCTACAAACGGGTGAAGCTAGGAGTCATGAGCAACAGATAAGGGAGTTCCTCCACAAGAGCAGAATCAGGGTCTGATCAAGAAATCTCCCCCAACTCCAGGGCAGAGGGACCAGACAATGGAGGACTTTATCCCTACAGACCAGTAACCGCTGCATGCCCCCATTCTTCCCTTTTCCCAGTGGAGACTTTTACTGTCTTGTCTCTCTTCAACCACTGTGTGTGTGTTTGTGTGTGTGTGTGTGTGTGTTGGGAGGGGGCGGGAGAAGGCACAAATAACTTGTTTTTTAAATTCATTTGTTCCAGACTATGAGGAACCACATCCAGACCAGTTGGAGAGGACTGTACATCATCCCGAGATCCTGGACTGTGAGCTGGATGGTGACTAAAAGAGCTTTGGGGATGTTTAACTGGCAAAGGGCAGTGAGTGGTTCTACCTGTGGTAGGAGTAGTAAAGATCTTGGGTGACCAAAAGGCAGAAGTGGCTGAGACTGGCCAGCTTCTCACCAAACCCATCCCTTCTTCTGGAGCATACAGGACATTTCCCAACCTCTCCTGCAGGTAGATATGGCTAAGATTGAGTTGTGGCCAGCGGTATGTGGGTAGAAGGGACATGGGTCACTTCTAGGTCTGGCTCAAAAAACCTCTCATACATGATCTCCATTCTCTTTCTTTATCTGCTGGCTGAATGCAGAGGTCCCCAAAGTCCTGGAGGATGGCAGAAGTACAAGATGGTGGGAGCCTAACCAGGTCCTTGAATGACGATATGGAAGGTTATCTGCCAAACAGGAACATTTGTTTTGGATTTCACGAGTGAGAAATAAATTCTATTGTGACAAGCCTCATTGGCAAGAGCAGCTAGTGTTAAAACAACTAATATACCCAGCTATTAAGATTCCCTTAAGAAATTGATACTCAGGGGCTGGCCTGGTGGCACGGCGGTTAAGCGTGCGCACTCCGCTTTGGAGGCCTGGGGTTCGCAGGTTCAGATCCTGGGCGTGCACTGAGGCACCGCTTGTCAAGCCATGCTGTGGTGACATCCCATATAAAGTAGAGGAAGATGGGCACAGATGTTAGCCCAGGGCCAATCTTCCTCAGAAAAAAAAAAAAAAAAAAAAGAAAGAGGAGGGTTGGCAGGAGATGTTAGCTCAGGGTGATCTTCCTCACCAAAAAAAAAAAGAAACCGATACTCATAGTCTTAGGTTTTCATATCCCAATGTAACTTGTTACTCCTATAAAAACTGAAATCTATAAAGTATTTTGAAAATGTAAAAAGAACCATGAAAGTAAAAGATATTTTTTAGTAGATTATTATTAAAAAGAAGCTAATTATACATTCAAAAAGGTAAATCACTCCCTATATCATTACCTAAAAGGCCCCTATGCAAGATATACCTTACAGCTCACTAATTCTCTTGTCACCTATCTTGTATTTGCTATTTAAAAATTTTAATCATTTCTAAATGTTTTATTTAGTTATTTTGGTCGTTTTTGATAGATTTCATTCTTTGCACATTTTAAATTCTTCTTTTAGTTCTGTAAATAATTTAAGCATATATGTTTTATACTCCATATCTGATAATTTCAAATGTTTGGAGTCTTAATATTTGAGGGCTTAATTCTGCTTTGTGTTATTTCTGCTGACTTGCACTCATGGTAACTTGCATGGTTATGGGTGTGGTAATTTTCACTGTGGCTTCATATCTGATCAAACTTAATCTGCAATAATCCTAAAGGCTTGGATTGAAAGTATATGACTTTAAAATGGGGTTTCACTCACTCTTAGATGTCCTGAGACACTATCAATCCCAAAGCACTTTTAACCTGTCTTAGGGTTTTCTTGATTGTGTAGGGAAGGCAAATTCAAACTCACAGTAGCACGAGGGGAGACCCTCAGTTAAGACATAAAAGTTTGCCTAGTCAGAAAACTGAGTTTTTTTTCCTAGCCCACTTTTATTTAAGTTGTTCCCTCCAAGGATACTGAATTTATGCAGAGGTCTCAGTTCTGCCACGTCACCTGGGGCAGAACAAAGAACCTGTCTCCAGTTACACAGGGGCCATTTAAAACCTGGGGCTCTACATTCTTGATACTGGCTGAGGCTCACAGTAGAGCCCTTGGCTTCCAAGCTTGCTTCCCACTCAGGGTCCACTTCTCTCCATGTTTTGCCCTGACGATTTCCTTTATTTTCTTATAAGATCACCTATGCATGTAAAAGGATGTTGCTGTAATATGCAACATCTCTGCGTGTTTGCTGTAGGATGGTTTTTCAGTTTATCTGCTTTGCCACATTGCTAGAGTGTCAAAATTCTTATCATGTGAGCATAAGAATCAAAGTCATATTTCTATTCAATCCCTATGAGCACACAGAGGATGTTAGAATTTAAATACCATGGCTTAAACTTTATGTGCTTTTCAAAGTAGGGTATGAAACCTTGCCAGTGTGTCAGTGTATGCTGGGATAAGTGGCAGGGAGCCTACAGAGCCCCAGGTTAAAGCTAGCACACTTCCCTAGACCATTATTTTTATGCAATTTAAGTATTTTTAACATCTTAACACTGACTTTAAAACAAACAGCATAATATATGAAATAGAATGCAAAATTCATATGCAACTTTCCTTAAGATGTCCCTACTCTCAGACCTACTGAGGTTATGTTACATCATAACTTTGTTCTAGGGGATAAGAAAGTTTGAGAAGCATGAATTTAGAGCATTAAAAACTTTACAGAATCTCAAAATGTCAAATGATTCAGTAGCATTGTATTTTCTAAAAACAGCTCTATAAATCAAGTCTTCCAAGTCAAAGATTCCTCATAAGGCCAAGAATAGTATCTATTTTAAGTACTCACTATACTTAAGAGGCAATAAGGAATATTATTTATCCATTAAAAATAAAGAGGTGGGGGCCGGCCTGGTGGCATAGTGGTTAAGTGTGTGCGCTCCACTTCTGTGGCCCAGGGGTCGCAGGTTCGGATCTCGGGCGTGTACCGATGCACCACTTGTCAAGCCATGCTGTGGCAGCGTCCCATATAAAGTAGAGGAAGATGGGCACGGATGTTAGCCCAGGGCCAATCTTCCTCAGCAAAAAAGAGGAGGATTGGCATCGGATGTTAGCTCAGAGCTAATCTTCCTCACACACACAAAAATAAATAAAAAAATAAGGAGGTAAATATCTGTATATACTGATATGAAAAGATGTCCATGTAAGAGAAAAAAGCAACATTATGTATAATATAATCCACTTAAAAAAAATACCAGTGATTACCTTAGAGGAGTGGAAATGGGAGGCAGGAAAGACTTACTTTATATTTTTCTATAATATTTGAATTTGCTTTTAAATCATAAACATGTATTATTTTAAAAATAACAACATACAATTAAGGAAAATAAACCTATATATAAGAAGGTAAAAATGGTCCTTATTTTAAATGTCCTTATTTTGAAGATACTTCTAAAAACATTCAATCCCCAAACTATTTTTATGTTTAGAGTATGTGTATAGGGGAGAAGTACAACTCTATTATGGTTAAAATGACCTAATGAAAGATTTCCAGAAAATTTTCTGAACTTAAGATTCTGACTTCCCTAGGTTCCTGAACTTCTTCTGACTTTCCTATGTTCCTTGGACTCACCCAAGTATAATCACCAAGTAGCATACTCTTACTTAGGTTTTCCTTTTAATGACAGTCAGAAATAAAGATGGGTAGTATACTTTGCATCATCACACTCTACTGCAGTAATATTCAACAGCAGTATATGGGGATTCACTATAATTATAAGTTTTATAAATTCTTTGTATGTAATTTTGTACTAAAATTCTAACTGGAGAGATTATTTAGAAAATTAGTTTTCTTTTACTCAAACATTACTAACATAAGCCAGACAAACTACTATGTCACATCTCATAATGCCACAAATACTTCTATGATAACAGAAAGCAGAAAGAAAGCTAAACACAATTTACCTTTATATGCACTTCAACAAAAACATTTTCCCCCCGTTTCACTGTTCTTGTTCAAGCTCTTACTACTCTTTACCAAAGATGAGAACTCTGTAACTGGTTTCCTTGTTTCATCCTGGTTACAATCAAGATATTACAGTAATTTTTCTGAATATCATATATTATTACTATTACAATTAGTACTTTTTTACTCATAAGACTTTAATAGTTCACCAGCCCTATGCATGACATGCAAGGCTCACTGAAATATGAACTTAAATTATCTTTGTAGGCTTACTTTCACAAAGTTAGGACCAAAACCACATTTTTATTATTGAAGTACATGTGAACGAACTTGCAAATGATAAACAGAACAGGGGCACAAGCACCAGTTGATACTGTATAAAACACCCAACCAAATCATCAGGTGCCTTCTTTATACGCCATTCTGAGGAACTCTTCCTGACCACAGAATCCATAGGTTTTCCAGTAACAATAAAATACAGCCTGTGTGCTTATATATACAATTCTATATGAAAGCATAGCCATTCCAAAGAATTTTCTTTTCCCCAGTACATTCTGAAAAATCAATTCTCATTCTAAAGCCCAATTTGTATACTGAGTGCCCCAAAGACGACTTGCAATACTACAGGTGAGTCTAACCATAAGGATGCCCAAGAGGAATGGATGACCTAGATCAGACCTCTTGTAAATACAGTAACGGTATTTATCAGCAAAAGGAGAGTCCCTAACTACAAATGATTTTAGTATGCCATATCTGATCTATCTAAATAGGCTGGTTAAATAAACCTAAAATTTATGGATTTATGGGGTATGGTTAGATGGAGAGTAGAGGTAATCAGTTAAGCTGCGTAATTATGGAATAGAAAATTGAAATGAGCTCCTTTTGTGAGTATTTTCATGTATATTGTTTAATAACTAGTCAGTTATTCCCAAGTCAAAACACACCCTGATGCAGAAGAAAAAGGACACTTTTGGGAGTTACAGCTAATGGTTTCTGGCTCTTGCAGGAAAAGAACACTTTGTGCCTGATGCTTGCCTGTACCCTTTGAATCATTAGTCAATTTGTTGCTGGATAAGAGCTATGATATTATTCATGAGTTTGCTTTGATAATTCAGCTCTGTGTTAATACAGGGGGAAACAGGAGGACTCAATCTCCATAACCAGGAAAAAAAGGCTAAGTGATTTCTTCTTCACTAGCCAAGATAGGTAGCTAAGACAACAGCCTCAGGAGTCAGGTTAAAAAAAATAAAAGTGTCATGAATCTGAGGCTTAAATATCATTTGACCAGGGACTTGGGGAAAGAGAAATCTGTTTCAGGCTGGGAGTAGAAATAAAGTACACTGGTGAGTCCAAGAGTTGGAACCTATGCAGAGTATATCAGATTAGACATGAGAGTGACAAGTTATACCCAGAAGGGACACTTTAATGCTTTAAACCAGTATCAAGGGAATGGAATACTTGAGACTGATTTCCTAGGGGAAACCTCTTATCCGAGGACAGATATGGTGGCCGGGGGTGGTGGGGAAAGGGCACGTGGGGACTTTTTTACTCTGTCACAAGTAAATAAAGAAGAAAAAAATTAGAGAGAAAAGGGGACAATAAACACCACATGTATGTTTTCTTGAACTCAGTACCTATACAGACAAAAAACCCCAAAAGTTTTAGCCTTTTAAAGTACTTATTTAGAGAATTTTGAAGTTCTTTCCAAGTCCCAGGATCCTCAATATGGAGAAATGCAGAATATTTTCAATTTCTACTCAGATGCCAGACACGCCCTTTTGCCTTCCTCTGAAAGGGCAAATAATAATCACTCTGTAAATTTCTGTAGAATGTCTGCTATGTGTGGACACTATGCTAGTTGTTAGGGATCCAGCAGGGAACAAGACAGACTTGTCTCTGCTCTCATGGAACTAACTGTCTAGGGGCAACAATATACACTGCATGCGTGAAATAAGATTTATAGGCTAACAGATTCTAGAAGTATGCTAATCTAAAGTAGGATAAAATTCTGGTCTAATAAAAATTAGACCAAAATAAAAATCCTACTAAAGACAACCTTCTAAAATGCAAGCTTAGATAAATGACTAAGTGATGAAGGTGAGTTAAAAATAAACACTCTTGAGCAAGCCAAAAGGAAAGAGAAAAGAGAAATTCATGTGCAACAATCAGTTTGAATCAGGGAGTGGGTGGGGGGTGCCAAGAGAGAGCCTCCACATTACTAGAACTTACTTTGGTGGTTTCAGGTCCCTGTGAATTAGAGCTTTGGGTTGCATGCTGTGAAGATAGGCCACTCCTTGGGAACACTGTAAACACCAACTCATGGCGTGGGCAGCAGTGTAATATGGCAATGGTTCAGCACCATGCAGCACTGCAAAAGAAAGGCACAAACTAAAAAGAACTTTATTGCATATAACAAAAGACACAAGGTGAACACAAGCACAATCAGCACACATGACTGGGTATTTTTCTACACATGCTTCCATCAGTCCTGCTTTTATTCTTTTCTAAAAAAAAGATGGAAATATCTAATAATTTCAAATGGATAACTACTACATAAGTACCTAACATTTAATAGTACTTCTGTTAAATGTTATACATACATTCAAGTAAAATTAATATACATTACCAACTTTTTCATATTGATACAGTGTTTCATACAATAATATAAATTATAAGCAATTTGATGGCACACTACTATAACAGACACAGAGAAATAGTACAGAAGGAATCAAAATAATGTGTATTAAGATGTTTACAATTATGCTTTCTATAATAGCTAAAAACTAGAAACAGTTCACCCAAATAAAACAATGGAGTATTAGATGTCCATTAACAATGATGAACACCTAGGCAGTAAATATAAGTAAAAATTTATACAGAATAATGTTAATTTAAAAAATAAAATGCACGGTTGGTCCCGTGGCATAGTGATTAAGTTCGGCACGCTCTGCTTCAGCAGCCTGAGTTCACAGGTTCAGATTTCGGTGACAGACCTATACCACTTGTCAGCCATGCTGTGGTGGCAACCCACATACAAAACAGAGGAAGATTGGCACAGATGTTAGCTCAGGGCTAATCTTCCTCAAGCCAAGAAAAAAAAAAATGAGGAAGATTGGCAACAAATGTTAGCTCAGGGCGAATCTTCCTCAGCAAAAAATATATAAAATAAAATAAAATGCAACAATTTATTTTACATAAATGGTACAACAAGAGACAATACATTTATATATGCTGGTGTTTCTTAGAGCAAAAGAGTTAGCTCTTTTCTATAAAGGTATCTAGATGATACACAGTTTTCTTTCACTGTTATAATTAAAATGTTCTATGAAGTGAGTTTTCACTATTTTGCTTTTTGAAAATAAAGCAAAATAAAGCAGAATGACATGGAAGTATGGTTAAAGAGTTTTAAAATGAGGAGACTCAAAGCTAAGAGAGGTTAAAGGAAAAAAAAGTATGAAGATATTTTAAAATCTATTTAAAAAGCAAATTTTACTTTACTTAAATGCTTTTAAAATTATGAGAAGTATCATCAATTGAAAAGATTGATAGACTTCTAAATTTCCTATACTAATATTGTAGCATCTTATCTTTTCATTTTTAATCTTGAATAGATTTCTTCTTTAAATTACCTCCTTTTGGGACTCTGAGGGTAAATTGTGAAGAACATTAAGTAACTTATAGTTTATATTAAAAGCTTTTCAATTATTTTACTCTACTAAAGACAGATCTAATGACACTCACCATTATATAAAGAGCCCCCTTCAGCATATTCCATCACAAGACACACCTAAAGGAAACACATGCCAGAACAATTAACCACAGAGCTATAGCTTCTAGGGGACTTTAGAGATAACTTAGTTCAACTTTTGATTTTATAAATGCATTAAAAATCTTTCTTTTGGCCTCCACTATGTGAATGGCACTAGAGGGGAAAAAAAAAAGGTATCCATGATCTAAGATCTTCTTTTCCAGGGGCCCACTGTCTAAGAGTGGAGATGTATGTAAAAGCACAATCACAAGATCTTTGGGCCCTTTCTCCACTGCTAATGAGTAGGTGCTGTCACAGGATATCATAAGCCTCATAAGAAGACAAGGTTACTGGGTAAGACCACCTAAGAGAACTCCTCCAATACATTGTATTGCTAACAGATTAGAAACAAATACATAACGTACATTTTTTTTCCAGAAATAATGTAAGATAACAGATCAATATAGCTTCATAAACTACACAACTGTACACTTCTGCCGTGTCATTTCTTATAGACAGGCAACAATGAAAAAGTGACAAACTTACTGGATTCAAGCAGGCGCCATATAGCTTTACAATATTAGGATGGTTCACACGGGATAACTGCCGAAGCTGTAACAAATTAACATTTATTTTAAAAAGTGCTAACTTTTGAGGAACTGATTTCATAGCATCTTTACTTTAAAATCTTAGGGTGGTACAAAATATTAGTTTAATAATTCAGCAATCACTATTTACTATGTAGCAGGCACTGTGGTCCTAAGTGCCTGCCCAGAATGGCACAGAATCCCTGCCCTAGAGCTCTCACAGTTTAGCTGGGGATAGATATGTAAACAAACAAAGCAATGTGCAAAGTGCTATAATAGGAGTTCTGAACAAGGCATGATAAGTACAAATAAGAAGAAATTAACTTGGCCAAGAAATGCTAGGACACCATCCCAGAGATGGCATTGAGCAGACTTAGGCAAACCAAAAGAAGCCATGTCACTGTTGTCATCATCATCTTCATCACTGTGCTTGAATAGTCTACCTACTCGATTTTGGGCCCTGGTGGGCACTTTATAGATACTGTATAATTCTCACAACTCTGCAAGATAGGTATTATCATTTCTATTTTAAAGATGAGGGACATTTAAGATAAGACTCAGAGAGGGTTAAGTGAGCTGCTAAATACCATACAGCTAGGAAGTGGTACAGCTGGGATTTGAACTTTGGCCTCTCTGACTTAAAATCTGTACTCTTTCTGTCTACTTGTACTCTCTTCCCTACACTCCATCTCCCATCTCTTGAATTAATTCCCTCCTCTCCATTCCCACTACCAATGCCTTAGTAATTCCAACTTGCTAACGGAGAAACACTTTTTTTCATAATATTAAATTCACAGAGTATCTTGGGTGAAGAACTACACAACAGAAATGACATCTCTACTTACCTCTACAATAAAAGCTTTCCTCTCAGATTCACTTTCTATTTGTTTAATAGCAACATCTTTTGCTCTCCACTTAGCTTTGCAAACTACTCCAAAGGCTCCTCTTCCAACAACCTGAGTTAAAAAAAAACCAGGAGAATTAGAAACAAATAGATCCAGCCGAACACGAAAAACTGAAGCCAATCTGAAAGACTTATTAAAGACGACTTTGGAAATCATCACTATCTTGATTTGCCACTGAGCAAGTATGAATTTTCATTAAAGCGAGGAGATAATGAAATGTGCTTGTCTCAGTCTTTGAAAGTTTATGGTCTAGACACTTCTTCATTCTCAAGTAAAACCAAAAACAACAAACAAAAAAGATTCTTGGAGACAAAATCAAACTAAAACAGGCAAGATGAATGAGAGGATAGAGAGAAGATGGTTTAGAAAAAATAAAAAGCAGGAACATATAAAAAATGTTTTGAGCTATCATATTTGTGAAATTAAAAATAGCTTTACCCAGTTGGGAGTAGAGGGGAAAGGATAAAAATATAGATGATAAAAGATTGGTCCTTGTGAAGGACAGACACAATGTGCTATTAGCTATACAACGGATTATTATTTGTCAAGAAAAAGGAACTACAGATATATGCTACAACATGGATGAGCCTCAAAAACACTATTCTAAGTTAAAGAAGCCAGACACAAGAGACACACATATTGTATGATTCCATTTATATGCAATGTCCAGAAAAGGCAAATCTACAGAGATAGAAAGTAGATCAGTCGTTGCCTGGGGCTGAGAGTAGAAATTGGGATTGACTGTAAATAGGTAAGAATCCCACCAAGGTGGTGAAAATGTCTGAAAACTGATTTATGGTGATGGTTGTAAAACTCAGTATATTTGTACAAATCATTGTGAATTTTATGATATGAAAATATAGGTTATTACAGTTATCACCCTGGGCACAAAACTCTTCTATAACAAAGTTGGCTGCAGCTAGGGTGATCAAATAATTTATTATCTACAATGGGTTCTTTGTAGAGAAAGAAGGGGGTGTTAATAATAACTACCAGGATAGTAGCTGTAAACTGGGATGTATGGCCACTCGAGCTACAGCTCAAATTCCACTTCATACATTATGCAAAGCAGAAAGGACATTTCTCATGTCGCTTAATGTGTAAAACCACACAAACGGTTAAAATTTATTGAATGTTTACCATGTGCCAGGTACTAGTCTATGTGCTTTTCACGCATTAACACATTTACTTAACCCTCCTCATTTAAAGGTAAGTAAACTGAGTCACACAGTTGCAAGGTGCCCAAGATCACATGGTCAGTGAGTATTCAGAGAAGCCAGGATTTGAAGCCTAGAGTACAGAATAACCAAGTCACTCTACATTCAGCTTCTGTATGTGATCCACTTAAAGGAAACTGGGCTGCCTCTTGGGCCGGCCCCGTGGCTTAGTGGTTAAGTGCGCGCACTCCGCTGCTGGCTGCCCAGGTTCGGATTCCGAGCGCACACTGACGCACCGCTTCTCCGGCCATGCTGAGGCCGCGTCCCACATATATCAACTAGAAGGATGTGCAGCTATGATATACAACTATCTCCTGGGGCTTTGGGGGGGAAAAAAAAATAAAATCTTTAAAAAAAAAAAAATAAAGGAAACTGGGCTGCCTCTAGGCAAAAGAAGGCCAACACCTCTGGTAGCTAGTCTTTCCTTTGGTGACTTTCTCTTTTTCCCTTCCTAGCCCTAAGTGCTCAGGGTCTTCCTGCTGTTTAGGCTCTTGCTGTCTTCCACACCTCTCATAAGAGAAAGGAACCAACATCAGTCATTTGCACTTGTTATCCAGTTACATTAACATGAACGGGTACTGGTTAAAACTAGCATCATTAGAATAATAGAAAGCGCGTGCCTGGGCTCTGGAATCCAGACCTCAGTTTGAATACAGGCTCTGTCTACCTATCAGCGATTAATGCAGGGCAAGTTAACATCTTTTAGCTTCTGTTTTCTCAAGAGTAAAAGGGAGATGCTTACATTTTCCTCAGTGAATATCTATAAGGTTCATAAGTCAAAACCAGGCATTTCCTTAAATACTACAAAAGAACAATAAGTGCTTGGAGTTGAGTATGAATCAGTGTAAGGAGCTGTACTACTCACTTCTCTCACAATTAACCGTGATGAATAGCAAATAGGTCCTAAAACAAATTTCAACTTTATGACAACATTAGGCTAACAAGGTATGGATGGAGACCAGCCTATCTATTGATATTACTATGAATTAATGATTATGAAATAATTTAATATATTCTTCAACCATGTATTTACAAATATATCAAAGCAGCTGGCACTTAGTAGGTCTCTTCTTATTTCATTTTCTTATTCTCAGGAATGCCCATGCAGGGATTCCAAACACTATATTTGTGGATCATGCACTTGTCACAAAAACTGTTAGGTGTGTATAACTGACTGTGATGCACAAGTGCCACCTAGTGCTGAGACGATGGCTGACTCTGAGCTTTTGACGTAAAAGCACGGGAACAAAATGTAGGCAAATGAGGACATGATAAACCTCCTTTCTGCTTAAGAAAGCAGTTTTCTGGAACACCCTGAAATATAAAACAGGCATATTCATGTAAGATGAGAGCCCATGCCTTAAGAAGCCTCCACTCACATTAGGGCCATAAAATATTTCATATGTACGGTGCAACAACAGATCTAAAATGATGATAAAGGAAATCCAAGATGCCTAAGGTCGTACACATAAACTGAAATACATGATAAGAAAAATAACTGCTATGAATTCAAAGGAGTGAGGTTAGAAGCACAGAGTCAATGCTTATTAAAGAATTACATTTCTTCTTTCTGAACACCGAGTCCAATGTGTGGAGGGGAGTTTCCCCAACCACCAAGCAATTCTCAGATACCAGCTAGGTATCCTGCAATTCAGCTAAATTTAGACACTATCTAACTGGAGACAGCATCAGATCCCACAGGTTCAGGGATCGGTTCTATAGGACCGTCCCTCTGCCCACCTGTGCTTCTGACCAACTGACTACAGATTGAAAGTTCCAGTGACACCCCTCCTTGGGTTCGATTAATTTGCTAGAGCAGCTCAGACAAACATTTTACTTACTAGATTACTGGTTTATTACAAAGGATGTAACTCAGGAACAGCCAGATGGAAGAAATGCATAGGGCAAGGTATATGGAAAGGGTGCGGAGCTTCCATGCCCTCTGTGTGTGCCACTCTCCCCCAATCTCCACGTGTCCACCAAGCCTGAAGCGCTCCAAACCCCTTCCTTTAGGGTTTTTATGGAGGCTTCACTTCACAGGCATGATTGATTAAATCATTGGCCACTGGTAATTGATTCAACTTCCAGCCCTTCTCCTCTCCCTAGAGGTCAGAGGGGTGGGACTAAAAGTTCCAACCCTCTAATCACATGGTTGGTTCTCCTGGCAACCAGCCCCCATTCTAAGGTGTCATTCAAAAGAAACTTCATTAACATAACAAAAGACATACAAAAAGACATCTTTATTGCTCTTATCACTTAGGAAGGAAATTTGGAGGGTTTTGGGGGCTGTGAGTTGGGCCATGGACAAAGACCAAATATATACGAGAAATATTTTGGTCATGTGAACGACTAAATACATATCCTACAAAACACCATATCACAGTATCAAAATATGACTTCCCATTTTTTCAAATGGCATAAATGTAGAGTTTTTAGCAGTGAAAAGAAAAAAATGTATAAAGAATTGACCCCTGCCTTCATGGGATGAAGGGGAGGTAGAGAAGAAATTCAAGACAAAACAATAGTACTTAATTTTTTAAACACCAGCTGAAGAGAGCCAAAGGTGAGAGTCTGTGAAGATGGAAACAGAATCACCTTTCCCCTTCTGGGATAGGCTTAGGGATTTGAGGGCAGAAAGAACTTATCCCCCCCACACTTCTCACTGAGATCCCCAGAAGGAAGCAACCTCACAGAATATACTTTGCCAACATTGGAAGCTACAAATAAGTAAGAGTGGCAAGGGAGATAGCTAGAGGGAGGCCCTAGTCAGGTTATCTCAGTCCCAACAGACATGGAAATGATACAGAAAAACTCATGCTACGAGAAAAGCAAGGTAACTGAAAATTAAAGTGTTCTGGCTGCAGGAAGAAGGCTGGTGTAGGGCGCAGTGTTGGCACCTATATCAGAGGCTGTACACAGCTCAAATACAAGGAGCTAACGCAGGGCTCAGCTGGGTTTCAGAGGATCAATGAAAGCTAAAGGGGAAGGCCTAATCAGCGCGCAGGGAGAAATGGGTAAGGTCTCTTGCTTTCAAGGGGTGAAAGTGAGGCTTATGCTAAGAGAGTGACGAACTTCACTTGTTTACTTCTTAAACCAATACTTTTTTTTTTGCTGAGGAAGATTTGTCCTGAGCTAACATCTATGCTAATCTTCCTCTATTTTGCATGTGGGTCACCGCCATAGCATGGCCACTGATGAGTGGTGTAGGTCTGTGCCTGGGAACCGAACCTGGACAGCCAAAGCAGAGTGCGCCAAACTTAACCATTAGGCCACAGGGCCGGCCTCCCAACACTTTTTGAATGTCTACTATATCCAGCTACCATTTGGGATACAGAGATACAGCAGTAAATAAGACAAAGGCTCTGATCTACATGAGGTATACTTTCAATTAAGGGGAGGGGGGAGAACAGACAGTAGATAAAAAGATGAATAAGAAAAATATTAGATTGCAAAAAAACGCCCTGTAGAAAACAAAAAAAAATAAGATGGTATGACAAAGAGATTGGTGGAAACTTCAGGCTGAAGAGTATGGGAAGGGCATCTGAGAAGGTTACTAACTTGATATTTGAATGACTCAAGGAACCAACTAAAAAAGAAACAACTAATGTAAAGGCCCTATGGGAAAAAAAACCCCCTCATTCCCTATTCAACAATATTTGAAGACCATCTACAGGCTGGGCACTATCCTAGGCACCCAAGACACGGAAGTGAACAAACCAAACCAAAACCCTTGCTCTTACTGCTCATATTCTTGCGGAGGGAGACAAAGAGAAAGCAAGATATACAAGAAAAAGATATAATATTTTAGAAAATGATAAGTGTGCTAAAAAGAAA